CCACATTCTTGACATTTGTGAGGTTTCTCTCCAGTGTGGATTCTTTGATGCTGAATAAGCAATGATTGCTGGCTAAAGGCCTTGCCACATTGTTGACATTTGTAAGGTTTCTGTGCAGTACAGATTCGCCTGTCTGCATGGAGTGATGACCCATCCTTAAAGGTTTGACCACTTTCTTCACATTTGTCAATTTTCTTTGCAGTATGCGTTTGCTGATGTTGAGATAGTGTCGAGTGCCTGTCAAAGGTTTTGCCACATTCCTTGCCGATGTACCTTTTCTCTCCAGTACCACTTGTCTTATATGTATTTAGGCTTAATGATTGATTACACATGTTCCCAGATTCACTATATGTGTATGGGTTTCCACCCCCATGAATCCTCTGATGATCAGCAATACTGGAGGACTGCTTCAGAGCTTTCCCACATTCATCATATTTAGAAGTAATTTCTCCCCTCTGTGTACTCTTACTGTTGGTATATTTGGAGTTTGGATAAAACACTTCCTCACCTTTGTTAGATTCAAAATGGTTTTCTTGCAGAGTCCTCAGACGTTTGCTAACATGAGAGCCCTGGTTAGACTGTGTCTCAGATTCACTGTATTGAGCCAGTGTAGCTCCATTGAAAATACTCTGGTAATGTTGCAGGGTCACCTCCTCTGTGAAGTACCTCCCAAATTGAGACGTCCTAGGTCTTTTATCTTCATTTTTGAATGTCTGAGTTTTAGAAATATTTGACTGAAAGGTCAATCCAATCCCACTTTCACAATGGTTCACAGCATTGTTTTCAGTGTGGATGAGGTAACTTTCCAAATGTTCCAAATTTTCTTTGCACAAATATGTATGTTTGCATGTTTGATTGGAACTTCTGCTTACAGATGCACACTGCTTTGCACAAATAGTGGATGTAAAAAGGGCGGTTTTCCAAGATGTTTTATGTCCTTCACCACTTGGGGCCATGAGGTTCTTACTATGGGCAGTCGTCTCATTTGGACCACGTCCTGCATGAAACTTCTGATGTGCTTCATTCTTTCTACCACTGTCCCAGTTTATCATTACGTGTAAATTCTCAAGGGCATGATGTTTCCATGTACCCAGTGACACATTTTGGGAAGAGGCTTCTATGCATGGCTTTGGCAGGAAGCTCTGGGTGCCATGTGAAGATATAGCTGAAAGATAGCAAATAACAAAAAAAGGGACATCATTCCAATTACTACTCTCACGTGAAGGTACTGACAACTTCTAATATACAACCTTCAAATCAGTCT